AACCTCCCAAATCCCTTAACCCATCCCTAGAGACAGTCCTCGAAAAAATCCCAGCCACAAGCCAAACCTGAAAGTAAGTCCTGGCTGTAGTCGATGCTCGTATTCCATAGCAGGAGGAGAATCAGAAAGACGAACACCTGAGACATAGGAAAGTCTGGCTTCCAAATGCATTAAAGACGAGAAGGCCGGGATATGGTCGGTTTCGGGTTTGTGGGGATCACAGCATATGGAACCTAAATGATTGATAATGATAGTATCCTATGTCCTATGCTAATCATATTACGATCGTGAAAGTCTACAATATCTCAGAGAATTGTGTAAGTTGAAGCCTTGCTCGAGCCTCGTACGGATTTGAGTTCTATAGTTGGGCTGGGGTTTCGGGCTTACGAGGGTTTAGGGTTTATAGGGTTTATAGGATTCTAGGGTTTAGGGTTTGTATATAGGGTTTAGTTTAAACAGAAAGGAAACCTGGAACTTCTACCCCTTGAACATCACATTGACCAGGATGACTATAAGTGTAGTCCCAGAATCAGAATATCCCTGCCCAAACACCTTGGGAGATCCCAGGCGAATCAAGCTGGTCGCAACGTCTTCTGGGCTGGGCTTCGGCATGGGAGCAGAGGCTCGACCGACGATTCACAGTAAAGGCCAATTATAGCCAGGATAGTAGTAAGCAACAATGATTTCGAAATTGGGAAGTCAGACAACTGCGGTTACCACAGGAAAGCACATGTGTTTGTGTGGGCACTCCGAATATTTGGGCACTGTCTTCTATGGAAAAGACTGCAGCAAATATCCATGATTCAGAGCTGCACAGCCGAAGCCAAGCATGAAAGTATTCTGCCACACACACACACACCAGAAAGTGCAGCATGTGTTCGGAAGTCAGCAATAACTTGGACAGGCAGACGTGGCTTCGACCCAGCGCGGGCGCTGGCGCTGACCAAGCGGATCTGAGGGCCCTTCTTTCGAAGGGCATTTCGAACCTGGCCGCAGGGCATATCACAGAACATGTCGCAAATATCGATATAGGGTTGTCGAGCTCAACCGGACATGTCATGCACACACACAGACACACACTGAAGCCTTCGATTCTTTTCGCAGCGCACAAGAACAGCCGTGATCGAGCCCCAGAGCAGAGACAACACAGCCTTTGCATCAGAATTAACATTAAAGCCAGCTTGCTCTCTGACACTATGTACCGCTGGGAGGAAGCACCCTGCTGAGCCTCAAGCCCAATTGCAATCCTCAATAGCGAAATCATTCGGCCAGAAGGCAAATGCCCCAACCGGCTCTTTTGCATGATCATCCACTATGGATGCTGGCAGCTCGAACTGGACACGAGCCCTGCTTGCTAGAATCTAGCTAGTATGATATAGGCCATCGTATGAAGAATTGTCAGATTAATGCTTGTGTATA